GAAGAAGTTTTTCCTAATATCCAATCTAAACCTCCCCTGGCATAACTTGAGGATATTTCCTCTTGTCCTATCTCTTGTTACTTGGGAGAAGAGACTGATCTTTGCCTCGCTACAACCTCCTTTCAGGTAGTTGTAGGTATAAGGTCTCCCCTCAGCCTCCTTTTCTCGAGGTTAAACAAACCCAGCTCCCTCAGCCGCTCCTCGTATGACCTGTGCACCAGACCCTTTACCAGCTTCATTGCCCTTCTTTGGACCCCTCAATGTCCTTCTTGTAGTGAGGGGCCCAAAACTGAACACAGTATTCAGAGGTGCGGCCTCACCAGTACTAAGTACAGGGGGACAATCACTTCCCTGGTCCTGCTGGCCATGCTATTTCTGATACAAGCCGGAATGCTATTGGCCTTCTTGGCCACCTGAGCACACTGCTGGCTCATATTCAGGTGGCTGTCAACCAACACCCCCAGGACCTTTTCCGCCAGGCAGCTCTCCAGCCACTCCTCCCCAAGTCTGTAGTGTTGCATGGGGTTGTTGTGACCCAAATGCAGGACGTGGCACTTAGCCTTGTTGAATCTCATACAGCTGGCCTTAGACCACTGATTCAGCCTGTCCAGATCCCTCTGTAGAGCCTTCCTAACCTCCAGCAGATCAACACTCCCACCCAACTTGGTGTCGTCTGCAAAGCTAGTGAGAGTGCACTCAATCCACTTGTCCAGATCACTGATAAAGGTATTAAACAGAACTGGCCCCAATACTGAGCCCTGGGGAACACCACTTGTGACCAGCCACCAACTGGATTTAACTCTTTATTTAACTCTGGATTTAACTATAGCCCAAAGACCACAATTCTTTGGGCTATATAGCATGTGCTACTTTTTATTAACTATGTGACAATTATTAACTATGCAACAATTATGGCTATTACTTCAGAAGAATGGGAAATATTAATAACCACAGTTTATAATGCACGTTTGAAACACCTTCTTGTCATGGTCAGTGTAAAATATGCATTAATGCCAAAAGTCCTATTAATACCAAAAATCACAGCATAACTAGACTAGAATGCAAATACAGTGTAACTGGAAAACTAAAATAATATTGTAAGTCCACCATTTGGACTGAGTTGATTTTTTTCAAGATTTATACAACAAATTTGTAAGTACAGAAAAGCAATATATAAAAAATGAAAGGAATTGCTTCATACTTCTTTCATGAAACATGAAAGCAGCATCACAAATATTGTGCAGGCGTGGAACCGATGGTTTTGTGCTCCAGTCTTGCATATGGAACTCAGTTGACTGCTTGTGTAACCACTCAGTAAGAAGTTTAACTGGTATCAGATCATCGTCTGGTTTGTTTGTGCCACAATGATGAACTTAGTCCAATGCAGGCCAATGGAGTGCAAATCTGAGAAAAACAGATTATAAAGCAGTAACATTTAGGGGCAGTTTATGACAGTTCTGTAGCCAGCACACATTGGAGATGGGCAGTGTTGGGGAAGAAGGGATGCAGGGAGAAAGGAATCCTCAGCCACTGGAAAAGTAAAACCCAGGGAAGCATTCAGGAGAGTTAGCAGCATTAAACCTGGAGATCTGGATCACCACCTTCAAAAAGCAATGTTTTGGTTTGTCCTGGAGGAAAGTCTTAAATACTGATAACACTCTAACTTGAAAGATTGCTTGATGGAGAGTCCAGAAGGCAGAGAGGAATAAGAAACACTATTTTTTTGTAGAAAACTTTGTAAAAGACATTTCAAACAAGTGAACAGAAGGCTTGAATTAAGAGTTTCAAATAAACCTCTTTATGACTTTTATTGTGGAAAGTTCCTTCTTGTTTCGGCTTAGCTTAATTTTATAGCAGAACATGTTTGTGAAGATTCTTTGTGTTCAACTACAGATACAAAATGTGTTCATACCCGCTATGGAGGATTTTTTATGTGTTAAAGTTTGTTTTCATATTATCCCCTTAAATTTCTAACTCTACTGCTTCACTGTAAAACAAGACAACCTTTGAAAACAACAATTTGAAATCTTCGTATTCTGCAGCATAACTGCATGCAATTAGTGACTGAAAGCACAGGTTTTCTACAGCTCTGTAGGCTTTGATTTCAGTATTTTTTCATGAACAAGCTCCAATGCTTGAATTACCTAGTGATAGAAGTGGTGGTAGAAGGTTTTCCTCTTAAGTCCAGAATATGATATGCTGACTTGGGAGATTGGTACATGTCCAGTTTATTGATTCTGGCTGCTTTTATGGTACTGCTCCAGCACTGACTGCTGAGTTTACAAGGAAACTGCCATCTGCTGTTGGGATTGCCCTATATCTTCTGACAGTGCAACAAGATTTTAAATCCTGAGGACATGGATTTAAAAGGGACTCACAGACAGTGGTTTCATGAAGCTGAAAGAATCTCTTTTCTCTGACTTGTTTAAGAGGGTTGAAATTTAACAGTAGAATTTTTTGAGAATCAAAATGAAAGAATGAGATGTGAGTGCTGAACCAGAAAATCTCTGAAGGGCTCAAAGTGGCTTGGAAAATAAAGGAGGCTCCATCAGTGTCAAAGTTAGCTGAAGTACAGAAAGATCAGACTCCAAAATCGAGAATACAAATGTGATCCAGAAGCGCAGAATTGAGAATAAGGGATCTAGAGCCTTAAAAAGACACTGACTCAATCCATGAGGAACACTTTGAAGTGATGAATAGGTGGAATGTGTGGCTGGGGTGGTGGCTGGGTATTTTAGCTTTTTTATCTGAATCTGTGCATGCTTTGTGCCACAGGGAAAAGAAAAAAAAAGAGCGATTCACTTGGGATTCATGTAATTGTGTGTAGCTTTTTGCTTCTGCCAACCTGTGTCTTTGAAGAAGAAAACAGAATCTCAGATGGTGGCAAAATACATGCTAAACTCCTAGGGAGGTCAGGTGAACTGGCACTGGTCCTGATGCCTCACCAGCTGGTTTAGGTGTGAACACTCAGAAGGTGAGAGTGCTCAGAGGGCTCTCAAAGAGGGAAAGCTCTCAAATAGTGAAAGCTAAATTCAGTACCTCAATTTTACACCATCTTGGGAAGCATAGAAACAAAAAGCTGTTTGAGACGTTGGTACTATGATCTAGAGACTGGTGCAGTGGGTATCTAGTGGGGAAAGGTTTTTATAGGTCTTCAAATGATAGTATGAAGATCACCTTAAACATTTGCAGTTACTAAAAATACACAGTACTTTTAAAGATATTGAGATTTTTAACAATGAGTTAAGAGAAATTATGACATGGCTAATAGCTTTACACATAATTTTAATTCTTCTTTATCACAGCTACACCACTATTCTGCCAATGCCATTGTCAGAGTCTGCAGTTTAACACAATCTTTTTGCTTGCTTGCATAAAATATGTAAGCAGAAGATATAAGCACGATAATTAATTTTACTCAGTGAACTTATCTGTAGCACTTCTGGAGAGACTTGCATCATAATTAACATTTTCCCAATAGTCTACCTTTTCCCAAGTGCTTGGAGTAATACCTAATACAATATACAATGCTTTGCAGTCATCTAGTGCGATGACAAAATAGTTATACGGTCTTGTGCACACACTGACAGCTAAAAATTCTTCCTCTATTTTCCAGTGGTTTAGATCATGATATTTAGCCTTTAGGGCACATTTTCTCAAGAGAGACACACATGAAAGTCATACTTATAAATGAAAATTACATGAAATGGAGGAAACATTAGTATGCTCTTGATCTCATCTGTTTGTTGTTTTAATCCATGGACATTATGCATTTTTAAAACAATTTAAAAATCTTCCTTTCATATTTGTACCACCAGGGTATTATTTAAATTCCATATCTTTAGAAGCAAAATTTTAGTCTTTTGGGGACCACTGAAGCTACACTTCTAAGAAATGATTCTGAGAACAGCACAGTTAGAGTTGATATATGCAGAAATTCTGAAGAGTTGAATTAAATCTAGTGTTGAGAAGGGTAGACACAGGGGTAATAAGGCTTTAGTGTATACATATCTCCAAAATAAAAAATGAAAATAAAATTCCCTTAGGTAGCTGGACAACAATTTATATTAGGTGGAACCAGGAGGAATAACAGTTTGTGAGTGGCACAACCAGTCAGCAGCTGAGCTGCAAAAGAAAGTCACTGTGACTAAAAATATTTGATAACATTAACTGGATGTAGGCAGATCTCAGAACTCCAAATGCATTTGGATTAGAGCAGATGACTGAAGTTGCTTGTTCTGTTTACACTACATATGATTAGTCTTCAGGGAAACACAAAATCTCAGAGCTTTTCTTTCTAAACATTACTAAGGGAACAAGATTATGCAAAACTCTATGAGGAGTCAGAACATATAAAAAATTACATTGCTATTGTAGAGACAATATCAAATTTCATGTAGCATCATCTATGTCTCTCTTTTGCCCTCATTTTCCAGGGAAGCCCAGCTTTTTGTTGAAAAGTTTGAAGGTGCTCTTGGAAAAGGAAAAGGAAAAAAATTCTATGCATACAAAGTGATGATGACCAAGGTAAATTTATTATTTCACTAACTTCATGTAATGCAAATGGGGAGCCTTTTGCAGAGTATTGCTATATGTACGCGTATTCCAAAACAGAGTTCCTTGTCTTTCTTTGCATTTTAATGCTTTTATTTCCACAGCTCTTGCATGAAAAGATTTCTAATGCAAGCTCACAGTTTGATTGAGACCCAGCATCAAAACAAAAATCAACTGGTTTGCAAGAGTTTGCAAGGGTTTAATATCTTGTGAAAGTTAATATCTCTTGGTGTCCATTGGATTTTTCTGTTGACTGAATCCAAAACTCAGTCTTTGCCTTGAGGCAGCCCTCTGTGAAAGATCAACAAGTGTCTTTTTGCCCCACAGCAAAAATACTGTAGGCATCTCCACTGAGCCAAGGCTCTAAGGTCATGTATATCCTAGAAAGCAATATGAGTCTGTAGAATTGTGACCAAAAGGCTGAACAGTGGTTGTTGAGGACCCAGTGTACATACAATATACGCTCTAGCAGGTCTTTCTTTGGGCTAAGTCCTGTGTGGCCCCAAACACTAAACACCCAACAGCAGTGGATGTGGATTAGCATGCTCCTCAAGTACACTTGTCCAGTACCTCTTTTGACTTAGTTTTATCCCCTGACACTGCTTTACAGAGCAAATGTACGTGTGGTAGATTGGGATGGTTTGGGAGATTCACTTCAAAAGCACACTCTTGCCCCAAACTAAAAAGCTGATGCAGAATGATGCTAAGAATTTTTGGCAGGACTACTTGCTATGGCCAGGTTTATCTTTAGTTAGACTGGATTTTCTGCAAGCAGTTGTGTACCCACATCTTATAAGCATTAATGTTCACAAAAAATAATTAGGCTTTCAAACTCAGCTGGGCACAGGAAGCTCAATTACAGAAGTTGTACTTACCCAATAGGTAAACTACTGGGTAGAATAATTGTAATTAAATGACATAGCTTGAGTTCCAGATCTGAATTTTGAATAGCAAAGGAAATAACATATTAAATTCTCAGAAACAATTCTAAAATAAATGAATGGCATGAAAGGAAGGGACTATTTTATCATTCTTCTCGTGGAAGAAATAGGGACTTCACACAAAGTCGGTAGGAGACTTATGCAGGACAAACAAGCAGACATGGTTCTTCATAAACTAGTGCTTCTATTGCAGTGGGCTCTGCCAAAGGATACTGTAGATGATTAAGGGGTTACATTAGCTCAGGGGGAAACTGTGCATCTGGGCACTGAGATGATGGTGGTTTTTAATCTGTGACCCTTTTCAGAAATGGATGAAATTTCAAAGAGATTTTGAGAATTTTAAGACAGCCTGCATACCTTGGGAAATGAAAATTAAGGAGATTGAAAGTAAGTACTTATGGAAGGTAAATAAAGGATAGTATCTAGTATCTAATTCCTGATGCATGACAAAATGGTAAATTACTTTTCAATACTTTAGAAATACATGTCTGTGTTCAATGTGTAGTGTAAAATCAATGAGTATTTATTTTTCATTAATATTTCTTGAGCTTGATATTATAGCTACTTGAAAATTTCCTTGAGAGAGTGTTAATCATCTTATAGATAAAGATCCTCAATACACAGGTAACAGTTCAGGAGCCAGTGTTGAAGTTAATCTTAGAAAAGTGGAATTGGGATTTAGCTATTGCCTATCTTCACTTTATTTTGTCTGTATTTATACTATAATTATTTCTGTGATGTTTTTTCATCATCTTGAGTCTTACATAAGAGGTATTTTGGTGTTATTTCTCTCATTTTCAACCATGTTATTTCTCTCATTTTCAACCATATAATACAACACAGAGAAAACAATACTGGTCTTGGATGTCCCCATATATTAGGCATAAATATATACCTATGTATATATATATAGGTATATAAATATATACACAAAACAGTGTAGTTAGTACTATGCGTATGTTTGAGAGTAGGTTTTCGGCATAAGTCAGTTTTGTGTTTCAGTTCCAGTGATGAATTTAAACTGCAGCCCTCTCTTTGAAGCAAATGTTCCTTCACTGCATGGGTACCTGAGTGAAGTTCTGCCACTGATGAAATGCAGATGAAAGTGCAATGGAAACTGATTTTAGAGAAGTTGCCTTTGGAAGAAGCTGTGGGTTGCATCAAAAAGCAGTAACCAGAACAGGAGAAGAACAAGAAAACGATAAATTGTGAATTTTGTGGGGTTTTGCACTGCAAAATAACCCTTGAGGACAACTTATACAATGTCCTTAAACATGTGGTCTACAGACTGCTGAACAGATTATCTACTCACTTGAGGTGGAGTTTAGAAACCTGCTGCATATGTGTAGTTAAAATCAAACTCAGCACTAAGATGCACAGGTCTCTTACTGGTCCGGGCACATAATAGACATCTTGAGGATTTGTGAGAGTGACGTTTCTGCAAGTTTCTGTAAAGGAATACTCCTGGCATAAGTTGTTCTGTTAGTAATAACTTCCAACAGACACATTTTTTTCCTTATAAAATCAGGATGGAAAAATAGAACAGGGTCATTTCTCCAGTCCTACTTTTATATCTATTTATTTTTTTTCATTTGAAATGAGTAACTTTTTTGCTCTCACCTGGAAGGTCCCAAAATCACAGTCGGCTAGTACCTTTTCATAATCTCAAAAGGTAAGATTGTGAAGTTTACTCTTCTTCTATTAATTTTTGTTCTGTTCAGTGTATTGCTAAGGCAAGCTGCAATTGCTTTTACTTGCAGAAAAAATCCTCTGTCTGAATATTAGTAATTTAAGAAGTACAGTTAAACCACAGTTTGGTCCAAAACTCTAAGGCTTGATTTCAAGGGAACAGCTCTGAAATATTGCTCAGGAAAAGAATTTTAAGTCATAATTTATTTGTTTCTGATTAATTCAAGCAGTAGCTCTCAGTGTCTACCTCATATTAGTGAATTTGTAGTACTAAGATCAAGGTCATCACAATGATGATGCTGATAAAGCTGCTAAGTCCCAGAAAAAAAAAAAAAGAGGTTTTAAAAGGAGAAGTGAGGGAAACTGAAATTGAAAAAAGCTAGTATATGTATAAGGAAAGAGTAGAGATAAAGATAGTTTGAGTCACAGAGACAAAAAACCTGCTGTTTCAACTTTTTCTAGAAACCTAATTGTTATCTAAATTTATATGTAGGTAGGACATGTACTACATTGGTCTTACTGTATCAAGTTTAGTTAAAGGGATAGAGTTATCCTCTGTTTCTTGGCATTTAACAAACTGTTGGTGCCAAGTCAAGGATTACCCTGCATTCTCCAAATTTCAGGTTAGCAGAGTCAGTATGAGATCATTTGTAAAACCATTTCTTATATCAAGCGCTGATCAAAATCTCCAGATTTGATCAGAGACCAAATACAGAACATATTGGAGGAGCTGCCACCTTTTCAACAGAGTCAGCTTCAAGCTTGTATGCATGAACTACAGGGAGTGAAATGTTCTTAACAGTTGTCTTCAGGCATGCAGTTGTGTTAAAGAAGCAGAAGAAGCAACTGTGCAAGGGGACACATGTCTCCAGATGGCTCCAAACTGAGCAAGGACCTGATTCCCCTTTGACTCCTAGCACTAATGGCTTTGTCTTTTGAGGCTCAGTTCAGCCCCATGTAAAATGACAGTAACACTACTGACATAAACACGTGACATCAGACAATGAACAGAATGTGCCTGATACTGCCTATAAAGAATTTGGCAGAAAAATGTCTTTGGTTGCTTAAGACTTTACATAAGACTTGCTAAATGCAGCACATTATTGAGCACCTTAGAGAATCTTGTTGGCACAGGCAACACTTTGCATGTAACCACTGGATCCTTCAGTCCACCCAAAATATTGAGGAGTGGTTGAAGAAAATGGTTGAACACTAGGCTTGAAAACCAGGATCAATATTTAAAAAGATCCAGTTGTTGGACAGCATTGTTTGTGTTGAGTCCTTAGTCACATCAGTTCCCATGCGATGCAATCTCATGTGGCAAAATATGGTTGCATAAAGGAAATCGGAGGGAGGACTGTCTACATGACAGTTCATTTTTGGAGGAGACAGTACAGCGAAACAAGCAGCAAATGACATCAGATTGTGACAGGTCAAGTAGGCTGTTTGGACCACTCTTGGAAATCTGATGATGCAAATTGTGCTGGCTTAGTTCTCCACCACAGAGTTGGGTCTGTACAACTGCTTTCCATGTCACTATACAGTTTAGGATTTTTAAACTGATGTTTCTTTTGTGACAATTTTTCCACCAGAACACATGCATACACACAGGTCAGTATCTCGTATATTTCATTCACCAGATAAATACATATGAAAATGAAATGTTCGTGGGTAGCTTCTGCTCCTTCCAACAGGTGAGATTATAGTTAGATGAGCAACCTCTTAGCCCCAAGAAACTAGAGGTAACACTTTTCTATAATACTCCATGATCACTGCTAATACTATGCTACAAGGTATTTTCTTTCCAAAGGCAGGCACTAAGCACAGAAGCATAAGCATTAACAGGGTATAAGAAGAGGTCATTTCAATAGCACCTAAAAGAGAGGCAAGAATTTATGAAATTTCAAGTTCTGTTTGAATCTTGAGTGATCCCAGCTAAAAGAAAGTGTAAGCAGCAGGAGCATGAATGGAAGAAAAGCCTGCCACATATGTGCAGACTACTCTGTATAGGAAACCTCTTCATTTGGGTAAATATTTTTGTGTGAGGGAATAGTTTATGCTCAACAAACCTTTACAGTTGTTAGCTTCCAACCAGTTAACTTCCCAGCGTACATCATCTCTGTGCTCTTACCTGAAGATGGTTTGTATTTTCTGATCTCAAAGTGAGCTCTTTATAAAAAAATCCCAAGCAAACAAGGCAGTAACTGTTTACAGTAGAAAATACAGGAAGGAAATATAATTTTCTAACCACTAAGAAACACTACTGTTTATTCTTCAGTCCTTCTAAAAAACCACATCTGAACAACCAAACATGACTTGTCCAAAAGAAAACAGTTTCAGAGCACTAACAATCTTTGCCCTATGAATTACCATTAGTGCAGGACTATAACGATACTTTGAAATCTAGAGGTTCAACAAAGCAAAGGAGATCAAGCCATATATTAGTAACATGGCAGAGATCTTCCTTCTTTATGATGCAGTTCAGGAGTTAACATATAACAGAGGCTTGTTTTTAGAAAACCTGATGCTTATACTGTAGTGTTGTTGGGTGTTGCTCCATTCTCAAAAGTAGCCAGGGTTGTAGACAGATTACAAATGAAAAGTGAATTAAAGTCCTGTATAGTGGCAAAAGATCAATTAGGTACTACTGGGGAAGATTTCTGTGACTTAAAAGGAAATACTGTACTGGTAAAACAATGTTAGATGACATAGAAAGTTTTCTCTCATGCAAACTGAAAAGGATACATAGCTGTGCCACACTACCACTGCCAACTGATGCAGGAAACATAATGGGAAATGCAACGTTAAAGTAAAACACACTTTATGAGAACAACAGAACTGCTAAATTCACATAAAGTCAACAGAAATAGTATAGCTTTAGGAAAAAAGTGGTCAAATGAAGAATGTGTTGGACTGGGGCAAGTGGCACACATGTGCCTGGCAGTGCTACTGAACTGTAAAGTTCCTTGGGCCATTACTTACACACTAAAAAGACCTGGGAATAAAATGCTTCATACTGAGCAAACTCTCTGTATCTGGAGTTATGTTGGTATTCCTGGGAACTCCCAAGGTGTCAGACACAAGTTTTATCAAGCTTTTTTTGTTACCATAGTTTCAGCTTGATCAGAAAATTTAAACAGACCTCAAGAAGATACTTTCGATAAACAAAGGGCTCCTTTAGGATAGGTCAGACTAATCTAAGATGACCAGCTAATGTTATAGGTGAATCTAAGCTCTCCTGTCTGCTTTGAAGAAACAACTCTGATTTTATTTCAAGGCCACTTGTAGATACCCAAGAATGACCTTGACCACATTGTCAGATAATTCAACAGTCACCCTGCTGTGCCTTAGATGTGCTACAGAAGAGTATAGGGAAAATAAATAAATATTATTCACTATTAATCATTATTAATATTGGCATGAGAAGACACACCCCTGTTTTAAACTTTTCATACTGTGTCCTAAACTACAGACTTGCATTAACCACACATTTAGACTTTATACAGGGATCGTTTCTGGTGGGTCTATGGACCAGCAGCAAGGGGATTGTTAACATTTAGATACTAAAATTCTTGAAAGAGTTTTCCTTTCTGTGATAATTATAATCATATAAAATATAATAATAATGCCATTTATTAATAATAAATAAAAGAATAAAGAAATAGAGTAAAAAAGAGAAGAAGAAAAAAAGAAAGTACTACCTACATTTAAGCCCTAGCAAGAAAACTCATCTTTAACCTCTGCTTCGTTTCATAGTGCTCCCCACTGTAACAAATAGGGCCCTTCTTATCACAGCCCCCTTCGGCTGGGTCTGACTCTTTCAGGTCACCAGCTATCTAGAAAGACCAGGTATCAACATGGAGTGCACTTTCTAGCACAGGGAGCCCATCTCCAAAATGACAGGCATCAAGCTCTGCTGTGCTTCATCGTTGTGTTGGAAATAGGTGAAACTGCTGCTGGGGTTTTAATGTTTAGGAGAGATAGAAGGTGATAAATATATGAAGTATTTATATTTAGAAAAGAGTCACTTCTTTTCCTTACAGAATAGACATTCAGTAATATCTGTGTAACAGGACTCTATGGGAAACATACATTGCTGTGTGCGTCAGGGTGAGCCCCTTCATTCCACTGCTGATATTGATACTATGCATGCCTATCTGCATGCCAATGCATAGTATTGTGAAGCTGTGGATGCAGAAAAAGATGGTTAAAGTCTACTTTAAAGTATTACTCTTTCATTCATACCTGGAACATGTTGCACCTCAGAGTGGATTCAAAACACTGGCAAAACTTGGACTGTTTTTGTTCACAGCTGGTGCAGGCTGTTTGTACTATTTTCTATGATGTTCCCTGTTGCCCCCTGTTTGGACCTGCCCACTCTGGAAACGTAGTTAAGGGCATCCATAGCTAAATTATCCTCATCCCCAGCTAAGCCTTTTCACTTATCAGAGGTTTCTGTTCTTCCCTCATAGGTGAAAAAGAATAAAGCCCATGCGCAGCCTGTGCATTGTGACTTGCAATAACTATACTGATGCATGTAATTCCAATTCAGTGCCTTAATACAGATGTTCCAGATGGATGCATGGCAGTGATTTCATCAGGATCACTGATACAAGAACTATAACTTAATGCATGAAAAAAAGCCATTCCCAAAAGAATGGGGATATTAGGATACGAGCAAAAGAACTAGTGCGGCATGGAGAGGTCTACAGTATCACAAGTGTCTTGAAATCACAAATCTTCCTAATTTTCTTCACTTCATTTTTTTGAGTCCATAGCATCCCCAAAGGCTGTAGCTGGGTTGTAATTGAGTAATCAGCATATCACAGACAGACTGACTAACTCGAGGTCTCTTGCTTTATGCCTCTACCCAGACCTCCCAGTATGTAGGCTACTGCTAAGATTGGCTACTTCTTCCTGCAAAATTTCAAAATTGTGGTTTCATTCTGAACTGAGAATAAAGCAGATTTTGAAATGCTGAAATCCCTGACAGAATGGCTTTTCCCTCCCTTTGCACAGCCCTGATAAATGCTTCTTACCAGTCGGTCTCTGTTTATACTGGTTATACCAGTTTAAGTGTATTAAATTTTCTACTGATTTTGTTGTTATAGTAAAATATGCATATATATTCCCCAAATAGCACCAGTCATGTTAACCTCATTTAAACAGAGTGGAAGAATCTGTTATAAGGCTTGCAAAACAGTGTTGAAATACCAATGTAAACTCTCTGAACAGAGATTTGTGTCTCATTATTTGCCATCTGAGTGTCTCAAACTCCTGAACTAGACTGTGTGTGAAAAACCTCTTGAAAGGTGACTTTTCTTCCTGTGAATGACTGATAACAGAACTGAAATCTGGTATTTTGCTAACTCTGACAGATGAGCACGACTGCCAGCTATCCTATATTCAGCAGAGGTGTGCTGCAGCAAGCTGGGATTGAATCTGAACTGTTATTTCTGTTTGGCCTGATTTGCAGAGTGTTGGTCAAATCAGGCTCCTAGTGCTCACTGTTTCCCCTGCAGTTCTGTGCACAGGTCTGGGTCAGGGGTCTAGAGCAAGTATAATCCAAGGCTTCATTTGTGCCCCTGGTGATGGGATTGCCTCCACACCTGGGTGCAGGTGGAACACATAAATAACAAAGTAAGAGAAAGAAAAGGTACAAACCCTTGCAGAACTTTTTGTTCTTCCCTGGTGAACAACTCTGGTGAGCACTCCAATAACAGCACTTACAAGTAACTTATGCCCTTGGAAAGACTGTTCCCATTGCCCAATTCTATGCTGGTGCTGGCTTAACACATCAAGAATGCTTGCAATCCACATCAGACAAAAAAGAAAAAAAAAAGTGTGATTTGCTTTGAATCCTACTGCTAGATGATCTAATATTAGTAAATATCACAGCTTTTAGATGACCCTAAACACTCTGTATAAATAATACTGATATATTTTTTGTTTCTGTTTTCTCTGCCAGGTAAGTGAATGCTAGTATGCAACCTTGAAAAAAGTCATTAGAATTACGGTAATAAAGAAAATGAAAAGCCTGCTCTGATTTTATTTATTTTAAATAAACTTTGAGCATCTTCATCTTAAAGTAAAATAACATAAGAGGACTAACTTATCCGCCCTTTTTTCACATCTCATGTTCTCATAGGTCACTTTGGCTCATCAGTAGCATCTTATTTCATATTTTTGCGCTGGATGTATGGAATAAACATGATTCTCTTTGGACTGACCTTTGGACTTGTAATGGTGCCTGAGGTGGGAATCTTTTAAATTATCATTGAGAACTGTTATATGAATTTCTATCTTTGCAGTGAGATTTCATTGGACTGGACCTTTAAACAAATTTATAACCTCTTTATGCTCCATTTGAAAGTATCAAGATGTACTAAGGCTGTAAAGATGTACTTTGTGGACAGTTGTCTCTACAGACAGATGTCTTGAAACAGACAGGACAGAAAAAAGTATATAGAGTTGTGTCCTGAAAGTGTTTTCCCATGGTCTGGGATGGTGCTAAACTTCTCTTTTTTCTATGGAGAACTAAGGAGAGGAACTGAGACTAAGAAGCAGCCAAGTGGAGTATCTTGACTAAAATGTGCATTGCAATAGAAAGATACATTCCAGGTCTCTGAGGCACCATGGATCCTTTTCAGTTGCCTTAATACTCACATGCTGATAAGGCCCAAGAGGGCTGTAAAGTCACGAGAGAGGCCCCTCCTGTTTTTCACTGTGTGCAGCATCACTGTTAATAATGCTGCTCAGACCAGGTGTAAATCAGGCAGAAATCACTTCTGTGAAAGGTAATATTTTTCTACTTCCTTTGAGCAATCTTATTTTCTTCCTAAAAAGAGGACCTACATGGAATTAAAAGTATTGTGCCATTTCCCTGATTTCATTATTCCTCATCCTCTTACTTATCTTCTAGTAAGCAGATCGGAAAGAGTCAGGTAGGAATTTCCAGCAGCTTCCTAGTACAGCGTTTCAATAGCATCATCCATCTTCCATTGAAGCCAAAGCAGAGAAAAAGCCCAACAGTTTTCAGGGTAAAGCCTGGAAAGGACCCTGTGGGGACAAATAGTGTGGCTGAGCAGGCATCTTGCCAGCAGCAGTGAGACTCTCAGAATCCAAAAACTAAATCCCTAGCATCTGCCCATACATTTCAATTAAAAACCCAATAAAATCCATAATGTAAGAAAAATGAATCTTGTGGTCTTGTCTGTAAGAAAAACACCGCTCATCAGAGGAATTTGGACTTCTGTGTTGCCTTTGAATGTGTCATGGTTTAACCCCAGCCAGCAACTAAGCACCACAGAGCTGCTTGCTCACGACCCCCACAGTGTGATGGGGGAGAGAATTAGAAGAGTAAAAGTGAGAAAACTCATGGGTTGAGATAAAGACAGTTTAATAGGGAAAGCAAAAGCCACGCACACATGCAAAGAAAACAAGGAATTCATTCACTACTTCCCATTGGCAGGCAGGTGTTCAGCCATCTCCAGGAAAGCAGAGCTCCATCACGTGTAACAGTTACTTGGGAAGACAAACGCCATCACTCCCAACATCCCCCCTTTCCTTCTTCTTCCCTCAGCTTTATATGCTGAACATGACATCATATGGTATGGAATAGCCCTTTGGTAAGTTGGGGTCAGCTGTCCCAGCTGTGTCCCCTCCCAGCTTCTTGTGCACCCCCAGCCTACTTGCTGGTGGGGTGGGGTGAAAAGCAGAAAAGGCCTTGGCTGTGTGTAAGCACTGCTCAGCAGTAACTAAAACACCTCTGTATTATCAACACTGTTTCCAGCACAAATCCAAAACATAGCCCCATACTAGCTGCTATGAAGAAAATTAACTCTACCCCAGCAAAAAATAGCACAGAATTTAAGAGGCACAGTTTGACAATCCATTGATACTAGTGAAACATCACTTCAAATTTAGAAAAGACTGTTAATGCATACTTTAAGCATAGTTTCAATCATTAATGTGAGGAGCAATGAAAAGAAGTGGAGAAGTAGGTCATCCTCACTAGGGAGCTGAGGAGCATAAAACAAGTCTTCCTAAGAAATGACAGACCACTGTCCCTTCCCTTTGTTGGTATTTTGCTTTAAAACGTAAATTGATCTCATTTTTTGGTTCCAGGCTTTGATGGGGAAGCCATATGGCTCTTTACCTAGAAAAACTGTCCCAAGAGCTGAAGAAGCAAGTGCTATGAACTTTGCTACTCTCTGGGATTTTAGTGTAAGTGCCTAAACTTGCAATACTGCATATTCACATGACTCTCTGATTATTATGGGGTTTTACTTCATTATTTAATATTCAGAGACTTAATATGAAATATTTCAGGAAAAAATAGCAAAAGAATTAATTTACTTTTTTTTTTTTTCACAAGTCCTGAGTATACATGTTTCCTTCAGACAAAAAAACTTATAATGAAGCTCAATGTCCACACACACATTTCAGTATATGTAGCAACCCAAAAACATATGGCAAAATGTCTCAAAGCTGGATTCACATCCCTAGGCGCTGACTTTCCATTTCTTATGGGTGAATTTGATCCTCTGTTTTTGTATGATTAAGGTTCCAAGTTTGAGGATGCAGTGTGAATTAGAAAAAAGAAAAGAAACTCCAATTATGTACTCTGTAGGCTTTTTCTAAAACAAAGAATGCTACTTTCAGTTTTTTCAGTCTCATAGAATATGCAGATATTTTGGCTGAATTGAGAAGCATGTTTCAATTCTTTACCATTGATATGATGCCCAGTCTAGCCTGTGGATGTGTACCTCCTGTACTGAGAAGCTAATGGTATATTCCTAATTGTGTCATACAGCTTTTTTTCCTGAAAACAACAGTTTTGTCTAATTTTGCACATGGCATGTCTCTGTAGTCGGCCTCTTTATATAAAGATGATACAACTTTGCATAAAATCAACTGATGATAAATATGTTGCTTAGAAGGCTGTTAGGTTTCTCTGTGGTGTGCAGTCAATGTCATCAAAAGGTAGTCTTCACCTGTGAAAGGGTGCAACCATCTAGTTAAGGTTTTCCTTCAGATTAATGGAAGCAGCATCCGTCGAACTAAGTGTAATTTCTCCCTCAATCTGCTGCACTC